AAGAGTGGGAGTGCAGACAGGAGACAGTGGCACGTGCCCTTGTTCAGCAGGAGTGTGTATCTCAGGCCAGACATAACTCAAAGAGAGAGATCCGAGAGTGAAAAATGAACTAGAAGGAAGGGAAGAGATCATTTTATGAGAAGAGAAGAAGGGTGCACTTTATGAGGACAGAGGCACTGTAAGCAGAGAAGGAGCGACTGATAAGCGGCTTCACAGACTGTATTTTTTCTTCATGCAGGTTATTAAGGGAAAAAAATTGAAATGAAAAGGATCAATTCAGATCAACTGCTCTAAACAGCATTTAATTGAAGAATATCTAATACAGCCTCTTCCACCAGACTGTGAGTTGCCCGAGAACAGCAGGGCTTAGGCTCCCCCCACCACTTCCAGATTAGCCAGGAGGGGGCCACTGCTGGAAAAATAACTCCAAAACCACAACATATTATCGCAATAAAAGTTGATCTCTCATTCAGCGCAGCCCCATATCAGTTTTAGTTTGGGGTCAGGATAGGACTTTGCTCCGTGTGGACATTCAGGGAGATTGTTGTCTTTCAGTAAATGCCTTTGAATGAATAGAATGGTTAATAGAAAATATTTACTATATACGGTTACACACGTCAGATAACCCAGCGTTGTAATTAACCAAATTCCCAGAGCAAATATGACAGGCTCGTAGCATAGAAACATTCTCAACCTCACCAATAATCTGTGACACAATTAAATAACGAACAAGAGGACTCTGATCCCAGTTGGAATGTAGAAAAGTTAGAAAAAGTCTTGCTCCCACCCTTACAATAACAAATTTAAGTGGATAATCTACAAAAACCACAACTCTTTCTAAACCCATTAGCGAACTAAGGCTGCAGAGCAAGCATCTAATGAAAAATCTAAGGAAAGAGAGGGGACCCCTCCAAGGAGAGAAAAGCACTTGCTTATGCGGGAGCAGATGACAGACACTAAGTTCCCCACATGAAAGAAGAATTCAGCTAAAAGTCTTAATGGATTTCTCAAGGCTAATGTTGGACTAGCATAAAAGTGTAGAGTCCCTGGGAGTCTCAGCCACAAGGAGAGTTTGTGCATACTTGTAGGTACTTCTTGGTGGGCCTCATTGGATGGTTATGAGAAAGACTGGAGATGGGGAGACTAGTGGGGCAGACATGAAACTCCGTCTGGAACCTTCCTTAGAGAACAATAACCAACCAACCAAATAAAAAAAACCAAAACCAACCAACCAAAAAAAAAAAAAAAAAAAACCCTCTAGTGGAAGAGAAGCAAATTCTGCCGTCTTTAGGACTCAGAGGAAGACCTATTAAAACGGAGGGAGGGAAGAAAAAGTTGTTCTACTCTTGGAGAAAGGGTAGAAATAAGTTCTGGGAGCAGAATGTAAAGCAGAATGCAAATTCTACACGTGAGGGAGGGACGGGATCAGAGGTGACAATCTCACCCGTAAGATGTAGGACAAAATGCCTGCCAAAGACTGAATGATGCTGAGTCAGAACAACAGGAACTCCCCCATCACTCCTCCTACCACCTGCTGCCGACTGCCAAGACAAATAAGTACCAAACAACAAATCACAGCAGTTCGTTGCTAGGGGATGATCAACAGTACATGAAAAATATCTTCTTAGGTTCAGGTGTGAAGGGAAGACCTTAAGATAATGGTATAGATAGCACTAGAAGAATTTCAAAGCATGCGGTGCCCTGAGAGTAAATAGCACCAATAAATCTCAAACCCATCTCTACTCCTGAGCAGATCAATTCAACAGGCATGGTAAGATCATCTATGCTCATTTCGAGGTATAAAGACTCTCTGCCTCAGTCTCCACCATCACAGATGGCTTTCAATAAAATTTGTGAGGCATGCAATGAAGTAGAAGAAAAAAAAAATCTGTCAAGAGACTAATCAATCAACAGAAATAAAATGTTGAAACTATCAGGTAGGGTATTTAAAACAGATGGACAACAAGCATCTTTAGGTGAGCAATTTCAGGAGAAAAATGTAAACAAGGAGAAAGAATGAAATGGAAATACTAGAAATGAAAAATTCAGCTGTAGGGATGAGGGAAGTCTACGACAGTATCATCAGTAGACTTGACACGACCCAGGAGGAGATAGATTAACAAAATGGAAACACAAAAAAGAAAACACTGAAAAGATTGGAATATCCAGGAGATATGGGACAATAGCAAGTAGTTTAAAATACTCATAATTGGAATCCCAGAAAGAGAACAGAGAGAGATTGAGGCATGAGGAGTATTTGAAAAGAGACAATGGTAAAGAATTTTTCAAAACTAATTATAGACAAATAACCACAGATCCAAGAATCTCAGAGAACATCAGGCAGGGTAATAGACTTTTGGCAAAAGTATAAAGTAAATAAGTCATGGAGATGAAAAATGCAGCATAGAGAGTATAAGTCGATAATATAGTCATCATGCAGTATGGTGACAGATGGTTACCTCACTCATGGTGAGCATCCAGCAAGGTATAGAATTGCTGAGTCAATATATTGCCCATCCAAAACTAGTGTAACATTAAATGTCAATTATACTTTAATAATGAATTTAACTTTTTTAAAAAAGAGAAACGATGTCAGTGGTGGTTAGGAGCTTGGAACTGGGGGAAGAGTTGACACCGTGTCCTATCTATTGATTTTGTACTGGTAAAACACTTGCACGCATTGGTAGAAACCCAAAGAACTTTGCACTAGTAACTAAAGTTTACTGTATGAATATTATACCTTAATTAAAAAAATGGAAAATAGGTACTACATAGGAAGATAAAATTGTGGAGGTTTTTAAATACTCTTTTGATTGTGATTTTTGATTCTTCTGGAATAAGCACCCATTTTTTTATACTAAATAAGATGAAACTTTTTGTAATGTTTGTTTATTTTTGAGAGAGAGAGAGAGAGAAAGAGGGGGGAGGGGCAGAGAGAGAGGGAGACATAGCGCAGAGCCTGACACAGCCTGATGCCGGGCTTGAATCCACGAACTGCGAGATCATGACCTCAGTTGGACGTTTAACTGACTGAGCCATCCAGGCACCCCACGATGAAACTCTTTTTAAAAAAGAACCACAAACCTGGATCAAGGATTTTATTTTTTTAAATTTTTTTAATGTTTATTTATTTTTTAGACAAAGAGACACAGAGCATGAACGGGGGAGGGTCAGAGAGAGGGAGACACAGAATCTGAAACAGGCTCCAGGCTCGGAGCTATGAGCACGGAGCCCAACATGGGGCTCGAACTCACAAACCGTGAGATCATGACATAGACTCTTACATAAGAGGAAGAAGGTGAAGACGATGAGGATGTAGCTCAGAATACAAACATCATTTCTGTGTGAAGCCATCCTGATCCTTAGGGTCCATAGATCAGGTCGGAGGTGGAGGAAGTTTCAGCAGTTGGCGACATCTTCTCTGCGTGACATCCGTTCCCCAACTAGCTGAGCGGCGTTATGATCTTGATGACTTCCCTCAATCTCTCTTCAGTGAAAACTTCAGTTTTCACATCGCGGATGGAAAAATGGGATTCTACAACTTCTAACTTCCTTCCAACTCTGATTTTCCCCAAATGCCCAAAATGATATGAATGCTATTAGGTTGGCATTGTGCAGGATTTTTTTTTTTTAAGTATACACATTACTCTTGGCATCTAAGCCTCCCAGAATAAAAGACACGCATTCAGAAAGGAAGCCGTACAGGGGAGAACCACTCATTATCTTTCCATGGACCTGGGTCCCAAACCATAAAGGCAGACCTGTAATGCCTCTTTTCCTAGGTCAGTTGCACATGAACAGCCTTGGCCCTTCGCGGAGGGAGACACCTCATGCCATTCTTCTCAACTTCCGCCTGATCCTCGCTCCCCTCCCCCTAACACGCCTACCCCAATCGGGACCACGGCCTGATTCTCCATCAGGGACAGCGACTGACCACCCGAGTATCATTTGGGATGTGATTTCACCTTTCTCTTCCCTGTTTTTCTCACGTTAGGAGAGTGAAAAGGCGAAAACTCTCAACCATCTAGAGCTAGGCTGGAGATTAAGTGACACAAAATAATTGCAAAGCACCAGGAAGCGAGTATGTGATCGAGAAATCGATTGTAAACGTCCGGTTTTGGATACCTCCTTCCTGCCATTGAACTCCACAGTACGCGAATGATTCTTCAGCGCTTGCCTGAAGCGAGGCGGTGTCTGCCCGAGGCAACTTCCCGCTGGAATCCACGCAGGGGCAGCGTGAGACCCAGGAAACATGGCTGCAGAGCCACCAAGCTGTTGGGCCTTGAGTAAAGGAGCTCAACCAGGCAAGCCGCATCACACGGGGCTAGAACCACATGCAACAGGTTCGTGTCTTCCTGCAGATTGCCCGGAGGTGACTTATTTGGCGGAACGATTAGGCGTTATGCCCGCTCAGGGGCACCAGTTCTGAATCGACTCCCACCCTTCTGAGCTACAGCAATCCTTTACTAGGAAAACAGGGCTTAGCAACTGCAGCGCGGAGAATTTCTGTGCTGACGTGCACCCTCAGCAGGGTGTCTCTGAGCAGGGCACAGCCCGTTCAACATGCCTGTTCTTGACCCCAGCCTTCCTTTGTCAAGGTCGCACCCAAAGCATAAATGCAAATATTGCTTGGGGCCTGTGTGCTCCAACCTGACCTGCAAGTCACACATGTTTGCTTTTGTGTTTTCGTATTATTTTCTTTTCTTTTCCGCTTTATTTTTTTTAATTTAAATCCAAATTACTTAATATCTAGTGTAGTAAAGGTTTCAGGAGTAGAACTGAGTGATTCATCACTTACATACAACACCCAGTGCTCACCCCAACAAGTGCCCTCCTTTAATGTCCATCACCCATTTAGGCCACCCTCCCCCCCCCCAACTCCCATCCAGCAACGCTCAGTTTGTTTCTGTATTTAAGAGTCTTTTATGGTTTGCCTCCTTCTCTGTAAATGATTCACTTGTAAGCAACGCACCAAATGAATTAGACTTCTATTGTAGCACTCCTTTAGCAAAAAAAGTTTATTTTTTCCCAAATTATAAAAATTATACATGCAAAATATGGCATTAGGGTGGCACAGAAAAATATAAAAAGAAAATAAAAGTATCCATTAACACTCTGTTTCCTAGAATTAACAGCTGGTATACCTATCACTGAATTTCTATCATGTACATATATAGCTTTTCTGTATTTGGATTTTATTTCCATGTGCATCGGTATTGGCATCCAGGTTTTTGGAAGGACATTATGCTGGGGTTTTCATGTACAAATCAGGGTTGAGTTGTTGTTTCTTGTTTTTCCTGGGCTTGATGACCTTGAAGAAGAAAGAAATGAAGTTAGAGCAGGTGAGATGTAGCTAATTCTGACTTTCTCTCTGCACTGACACTGTCCTCCAACCACCAGTTGCATCCCATTCTCATAAGGTTCTTCTCACTCTCCCCTGTCCCCTTCAATGAATTCCTGTCCTTTGAGTCACCTCCCACATTGGTTGAGACCCTAAAATGAGATAGTCACTCACCCACAGCATGAGTGCACGTGGAAGGGCAGGAGAGAGAGGAAGGACAGGTGTACTCAATGCCAAGAGTTGAAGGGATGGTTCTCACGGGGAAGACAGGTGGGAGGAGGGTGTGAGTCTGGAATGGAAAGGCTGGAAGGTTTGAAAGACTCAGAACTGGAGATATCTAAGAGTCTGGGCCTTGCTGTGGGTCTGGATGTGTCAATCTTTGATCTATTTCACTCTGGTACTAGCCTTTGAGGGTCTTCCCACAATCTCACGTGGACAAAGAGCGTGGACTTAGTCCTGGAGGACCAATACTCTCTGTCTGTGTAGACCAGTCTGTGTATCTCATTAAAGGCAAGTTACTTTGTGTTGAGGTACTCAGGGGCACTCTTGATCATTTAGGTCTGGTGTGAGCTCTGTTTGCCTTCCTCTGGGATAGATGGCATTTCCCCCATATTAAAAGTGATGGACCTGAAGTTTCTGGCGCTTAACTTCACCAGCAGTTAGAAAATCACAGAGCTAGGTTTTGAAAGAAATCGGCCTTAATGAAGCCCAAATTTACTACATAATCTCCCTGCTTTGATGCATTCAACCAATTTTGTAATATTTAGCTAGGTATTATATCCTTTGAAGGCTTCTCTGGGGTTTCTCTCTCCAACACAATTCAAAACCTCCTTCTTTAAAGAAAGAAAGAATGATAGAAAGGGCAGTCATAAGTCTTCCACATTGGAAGAATGCTATTCCCCAGAAGTCCCCACCTTGATGAAGCTGTGAGTTACAGATCTCAGCTGTCTTGGATCCCCACTTAGTTCAAAGCAGATGAGTGTGAGTTTATCGCCTTCCTCACAGTTGACTTTGGTCAGTCGTCCATACACCAAGACGTCCATCGTCCCCGTATCATCTTGTATTTCATACAAAGTGATGCATTGATCCAACACCATTTTCTGCAAAAGAAAATCAGCATGCTCCTCCTCAGAACTGGATCAGGTTCCACGTCCATGAGAAACACAGGGTGTGGGTGGAAACTTTTGTCTCCGACAGGTTAATATGAACTGGAGGTCCGGAAGGAGGCATAGCACATAGCTTAAGATGTTTTGTTCAGAGGATTCTCCTTATGAGTCTGAGAAGGATTGCCACTAATTCTCATTAAGTGGATTATGTCATTTCAGTCTGTACTTCTTTCCTGTCCATTCTCTACTCCCTCTTCCCAATCTGCCCAAATCCAGAATCTCGATCATCTAGTCCCATTGTTCTAGGTTCCTTCTTGCTCACTGTACACATTAATTCTGCAAATGCACCTGTGTGCACAGCCACTTACACAGAGGGCACAGGAGACAACACAGGTAGAAGGAAAAAGCTGCGTTTCAGGGCAGAATCATCTGTCGATTTCCTACTTTGGTTGTCACAACCAGCATCCAAGTTTGGGAGGGCAATTCTTTATTCACAATCAAGTTAAGCTGTCATTGAAAGGGATGAGACAGAACTCACACAAAATCATAAGGATATGTGTACTGATAGAAAGTCTGCACTGTTCTGGACCAGAGTACCTGTGAATGGATCATAGCATCTGCCAAAAACCAAGGATTTGGGGAAATCTCTTTCCGTAGAACTTACATGGCATTGCCTTCGGAAGAGGAATGTGAGGAGTTTTTCTAGCCCTTATCCTGAAGTGGGAAGATTCTACCCAACTACCCTGGTCATTGGAGCCTTGAGTTCCTGTGTTTCAGAAGTGAACCAAACTCCACTTGGCAAGTTCAGACCTTTAAATTCGGGGGTTATAGATGAAATAGTACAAAACAATGGTGTGGGCTTACCTTATGCACCTGATACACCCCACTCACAAATGTTCCTGGCTCTTCCGAGCGAAGCTCCTTGATTTTAGGAGTTGCATTTGCATTTTGGATCAGTCTGCTTGAGACCTCCATCTTTCGGTCAGCACTGACATCAGACACAGAAGAGACATTGTACACCTCCAGGAACCCGTTGCGGCCAATATAATCTGCTAAGGTGATGACTCTCTTTGGTATGAACTTGTCCTTCAGGCCGACATGAAAAACCTTCACTCGAAAGAACTGGCTCTCAGTAACCACAGTGGCGTGAAACATCTTTCTCTCCTCGTCTGTGATGTCATATGCGAATGGCTCTGTGGCTTTCAGCACCATCACTTCCTTGGCACATTTCTGTAAACCCTCTTCTCTGGAAGCTTTTGTAGGTACAGACTTCAATCTTGGTTTCTACTTGGAAGTACACATCAGAAAGTGGCCCAGTTAAGAAAGGGAATACACAGTCCTTTCTAGTGACACCACCTTAAGCTTAATGTTGAGCCTCCAGAAAGGCTCAGATTGGATGCATTTGGGGGAAAAAAATGAGCTAGAGAGAGAGAGAGAGCTGACCTAGTATAAGGTAGCTAGTGGAAGACATGGAAGAATTACATGTAATTGTACTTATTTTCTTCATCGTTTCATGCATTTGGGAGGAATAGTATTTTTTCTGTTAAAGGCATTAACCCAAGATAAAGAAACAACAACAACAAAACAACATTTCTCTGAGGAGAGCTCTGGAGAGCATAGAGAAAGAGGAAAATACCCATGCTGTTGTGAAGGGATTCCCATTAGACATGAAGATAAATATATGATCTTAATTTACCAATCAGCATTTTAGTGAGCAAAGTAAGATAGCAGTAAGGAAGAAAATAAATCACCCTAACAGCACTGGCAGTGAACAGCTCCAGTCAGAAACCACAGATTTCATCTGGAACCAGTCCCGGTAGATGTCACAATTGAAAGAGGGAAACCGTGAGCCCTTTTCCAAGAAGGGCTGTGCTAAAAAGAGATTAGTTAAGCAAGCACTGGAGAAGCTCATGAACTTCCCTGATTTAGAAATGCTCTGGCTCCAGACTTGAACAGTAGAAGAATGAGCCTTCTGAAAACATGCTTCCTTGGCATAGAATTATTTGAACCCAATGATTCTAAAAAACAGCAGCATAGAAAAAGCTCTGCAAAGAGAATAAAAATTCCCCTAAATGTTAAAGCTTTAGATCGCAAAGCCTGGGTTTGAATCCAGCACCAAGTAAATGCCTAGTGCACGGAAATGTCGTCAGCACTGTCTTTCCATGGTTTTTCAGAGGCCTGTAGTCTGATCCAATAAACAGATATTTCATGCTTTGTGTTGACCCTGTTGGTGGAATCTTTGTTAGAGGGATAGCCTTGTAAAAGAAATTTCTCCATTTGGGTAAGCCACATATACTCCGTAATCTCATTGACAGGATCATGCTGAGCTATTGCCTTTTAAAACTCAGTTATCATACACTGGCATGACAAGAGTGGGGCTTGGAGGCTGAGGAAATATTGGTTTGGATCATATTTTGAAAGCATAAACAGGTCATTTTCTCTCAGAGTATATTCTCCACTTCCCACCTTGTTCATAAATCATGCTTTTCTGTGCTATTCCCTTCATCATAGCAGAAATTGAAGGTGATAGTGATCTGTTTCTGGCTTTGAACCCAAAAAGCAAACCGAACGCACACCCTAGAGAAAATTGTTGGGAGTCCCCATGATGAATAACAACAAGGCTTTCATTCTCACCCAATGAAGCACAGACTGAAAGGTCAGACACCTTTTTGAAGGCCTCCTGTGCAGGTCAGACCCCAGGGAAACACTGAGTCCATGGTGTGTTTATGTGTAAGAGGCTAAGGCACAGAAGAGCCTCCTGGGGTCCTGGTGCTCCATGGAGGATTCAGGGCAGCAGAAGGGTTCTGACAGGAGGAAAAGTGACTGTGTCCCATGTATAGGCAGATGGGGACATAGAAAGTCACTTCCATAGAAAGTCACTTCCAAGCCAATACTCTACCCCCAAGGGTAGGCAACCACCATGGTCATGTCACGGTGGGACGGAGGTGAGCTAGGCGAGAGGGCATGCCTGCCTGTGCACTTGCCTCTCCATTCTAGTCTAGTCTTTCTCTAGAATCTGAGGTTATTCTCCCATAAAAGGAGAAGGTACACTCATTATAGTGGTGATAAATGCTGGAAAAGAAAAATAAAGGGACTCGTGAAATCGAGCAAAGATGTGATGTATTGTTGGAGGCACATCAGTGAGGACCTGCCCGGTGCGGAGGGGAAGCAGTCAGGCTGATGTCTGAAGGTGGGTGTTTCTGGGTCAGTGAAAAGACAGGAGTAATGAATTCCCAACCAGAGAAATATCTTTTGTATACACATTGGACATGGGAGGGAGCACCTAATGCTGGAAGAGAATCCAGAAGTGTGGTCAATAAGCCAAGAGGAGAGGGACGAAAGGAGACAGGAGACGAGTTACATGTAGTCGTTCATTTTTCCTCCTGTGTTCATCTTTAGTGGTCTGACCATCCCCTATTCTCATTCCTGCACTAAGTCAGTAACCCTCTTGAGATCAGGAATTATTTCAAAATACACACTTTCAAATAGCAAAATACACACTTTCTATTACACTGAAAACTCACCACCTGCATTTAATAAGCTAACAGGTGACTTTTGTTATGTAAGGAAATTATACATAGTAGGGAATTGCTGAGAAGCTCTTTCCAGGTCCTGATGATTCCTGTGCTATGTTGTAGAGAGAGGAACAAGTACGGGGAAGAGCAAGACGGTACCTTGGTCGAGAAACTGCTGCCTGGCGTTGATGGAGGCATCCAAGGAGGCTGAGAGAAGGACCCAGGTGACAGGGCACCTGTGATGGAAGGTTGTCCAAGCTGACCCCATTCCGGCATTGGCTGCATCATCTCAAATTTTTCAGTTTTTATGGTTTGGGTTTCCATTTTCTGAAAATAGTTTTTTTCTCCCTGGTTAGTTGTCAGTATCAGGTGAACCACAATCCCTTTCTTCCGTCACCTCTCTCTCTCTCACTCTCTCTCTCTTTTTGTCTTTCTGCCTCTCCGTCACACACACACTCACACACACACACACACACACACACACACACCAGGATCTTCAATCTGGAATACTAGCACATATAGGATACCTCCTTCTGCTCTCTGGTTTAGACCCCAACCAGGGTACAAACATCCCTCTGCAAATTTTAACCACACAGATGATTGAACTTTCATTGGAATGCTAGGCAATTCTAGTTCTACCTCTGCTTCCAAGGGCCCTATGTCAAGCTCCTCAAGACAACACGTGGATCGTGGCCTGGTAGAAAATCCTACCTGGCTCCAATGGAAACGAGTCTCAGAACTACTTGACTGAATTTCGGCATGTTTTCTCCACCATGTTTTTCACAGCCTTATGGTTCAGCAAATAAGCAAATTGGTTCCTACTCCTGTCCTTCAGCTCAGGAAACCCTGTGAATGCTTTGTTTTCCATGGCAGTGAGATTCCCCCTGTTCATCATCCAGAGGCAGGATTCTGCACCAGGCCACCAAATCCCTCAGGGATCTCAGGGACAGACAAACCCAACGAAGATTTCACCAGGCTTTCCCAGGACCTAGACTTTTATGACCATTTAAGGAAGTGCAGAAAGAGTCTGTAAACTCGTTTGTCTTGACTACCTGTCCTTTTACTAACGAAAGCGCATTTGGACCATCCTGCATCCGATATGCCCGTGCCACCATTCTTGTCACTTTTAGCATCCATTTGACCAGTTCATCAAGTGTCACTTGTGGATAAAGTTGTAGATGAGAGAGCTTCTGGAATACCTGCCTCTGGCAGGTGGCTTCCTGATTAGAACACTGTCGGACCAACCCCCACACCTCATTCCTCTTTTGCAGGAGGACAGAGCCTGGCTGTGGAAACAAGTCCACCCATGACTCCGGTTATTCACACATTAGAGGCATTAAAAAAATATTGTAACATCCGCACAGCTACGTGGATTCGGTTTGTGCCCATGAAGAGCTCACGTGTTCATGCTCTGACACTCACTGTCTGTGTGACCTTTGCAGAATGTGTTTAACCTCTAGGAACCTCAGTTTTCTCAGAGGCGAAATGGCCCTAACAACAGCACCCTGAGAGATAAATAATGAATGCTGTTATAAAGACAAGATGAGATCACAGACACAGAGCACACAGGTTCCTGGGTCTAACACACTACGTGGGCAACATAGCCATGTCGGCCTTGTCACTGCTATTTCACTCTCTACTTAGAGATTTTGGTCGGCTGTGATCTGCAGATACCTCATGTTGTATGTGGGGCCCTCCTGATGGCGTGGGAAATAGTTCCCTAAAGTAGCCTCTCTATTCACTTCTGCCATAGGTAGCAATTTATCCCAAGACAACCTTATCTTGATATTCCCTCAAAATCAGTGACACTGAAAGCTTCTATGATAGCAGTAGGATTTAGATGCTGAAAAATATTTTTTACAAGTTTATTTCTTCATTTTAAGTGGAAGAGAGCAAGAATGCAAAGAAAGAGAGAGAGAGAGGAGAGAGAGAGAGGGAACGTGTGGGGTAGGGAGGCAGAGAGAAGGGGAGAGAGCGAATCTCAAGTCAACTCTTCACTCTCAGCCCAGAACCCAATGTAGGGCTTGATCTCAGAAGCTGTGAGCTCATGACCTGAGCAGAGATCAGGAGTTGGATGTTCTACCGATTGAGCCACTGAGGCACCCCTAGATGCTGAAAATATTATTTTTATATGCATATTTTTTAAAAATAACGATTGAATTTTTTTTTTGCTCTCTAGATTTTTCACTTCTTCACCCTGTCTAGTTCTTGAAACATGATGTTGTCAGCTGTTTGCTT